CAGAGGATATCAAAATGAAATTTTCCCTTTATTTAATAATTACGGCATCTAAAAAACCGATTTTGTCTATTTAGAACCCCACATGTGACTAGCACATGTCTATTTCCGTCATTAATTTAACAGTCATTACCTAAATGAGGTTAATTGTAACAGTTACGTAAGCACAGAGAATTGATTGTCAAAATTAAAGTTTAAACCATGACAAATTTAAAAGACAAATGTACTAAAAACCTGAAATAATATTATCAGTGAACAATATACTCAAACAACTAAAAGCCATAGGAATTTATGGATAGAAATCGATTGTTTATCAAAGTCATGGTTTACCTGTTGTTTTGAGTCGTGCGAGTCAAAATTGGTAGGTGCAATATATTATCCCCTTAAAAAGGAATCAGATCTACCATTTTTACACAATATTTTGTTAAATGCATTAAAAGGTAGGTGCATAAACTGAACTTGGTGGGTCTTTCAAAGCCTTTTAATAATTGGTGGTGATACAAATACTGGTCGGTTTGTTTGCCGGGCCAAAAAGAATGTTAATTTGGTTAACACACACCAACTTGACCAAAAGAAGAAAATATGTCAAGTATTGTTGGGTCAGGAACGTCAAATATTATTCCAGATGACATTAAAAAGTAAAAATTACTTGAGAATCACGTTATTCGAGTGCTGTATACACAATCCAACCAAAGAAACAAGTTCCAATTGCTAATTGTCGTCCACGTATTTACCACCCACCAGTTTGGTGAAAATGGCGACCTTTATAACAACGACCCTGTGCCGATTTATATATGCAAATTATTTACTAATTAGCAATATACGTAAGTGGGATCTCAAAAAGTAGGTCAAAAAAGATTAGGAAAAAATATATATTATAATTTAGCAAACTATACAATTAATTATATAGCTAGTGGTATATTAGTCATGATCCGCATTATACATATTGCGTAATAGGCAAGAGAAAGTACATGTTTGAGTAATTTGTCTGCATTACATACGCTTGGATTCGAAAGACAAATTATATGTGTCATATATAGGGCCAGAGAAGTATATGAAAACGGCATATTTCATTACATCTGTTATGAGATGTAAGCATGCATGAGAAAGACAAATTACATGTACGATAAACCACAAATAAAACAGATAAAGAACTCGAAATTTAATTCGATGGTGGCCCCTAATATTGTGTAAATATTCCTTGAATATCGAACATGGTCCCTAAAATAGCAACTTCATCTCAGTTGGCCTTACGATGGTCCCGAAGGCCAAATATGTAAACTCATATTTTGTGCGTTTTATGTACACATAAAAATGAATAAACATTGCATCAGCAGGTTAACTATTATCTACTAATAAAAAGTGGGTATGTTTTTTATTAATAGTGCTTAACATCAGTGGTGTCACTTTTAAGAATTTTCAAAACGAATATATAATGTGTAATAACATCCAGTTAGAGGTACACAAATCAATATCGAATAGAAAATTTGCCACAAAGATGACTCGGAATTCTCCATAATCTAGTCATTGTGACGACTACATAAAGCTGCATACTCTAGAATTATGCATGCATAAATGTTTACGGACAAGCAATGGCTTGTCATGATTTTCAATTGGTTGCCATGCTTAACGCCTTATCTGATACATATATTTGTGGTGTCACCGAAAGCCAACTTTACCAGCAGTATTTATGCACGGCTATGATGTCACATAAATTAGCATTTTCAATCACTAAAAAACTAATCCCCATTTTCTAAGAAAATTATTCCATTGAGATTGACATAATTGTGAAACAAATCATCCCAATTCATACGTCATAATTCCATATTTGGATGCACACCACAAGTTCTATATGTTTTAAATTAATTAATTAATTAAAAACTAGAACATGATTACAAACCAAACATATAATATAAAATAACAATGTTCTGCGAATTACGTCACGCAAGGGTGTGGCGCCACATATTGCTATATTACTGTAATTGGGCATCTATACTAGCTAAACTTATCTTATCATTTTTTTTATATATATATAAACTAATCACCTGTTTTTTTTTTATTATTTTTTTAATGAAGTCGTAAAGAGGCAGAGATAAATATGATGTAACAAATCCTCCAATCGTTATATAAGCTTTTCGATGTCATCTCATGACTCATGAGCTGTAATCATAATATTTAACAATCACATGTTTTTTGTTCCTAATCAATTATGTTTAACAACCAAATGGTTACGTGTATAGATGCATTGTTATGGCAGTTTATGAACTTAACTAATTAAAATAGTGACGAGTAAACAAACTATCTCATGTGGCAGTGCAACACTACATATTGGAGATGAGTGCTAAATACAGATTTTATTGCATACTCTTTTTTAGATGTTAGTCTATGGTCCCGTTCATTTCGCTGATTCGAGTTTAGAATTTGAGTTTTGCTACAGTAAAAAACTCTCACAAATAATCACATCTAACTTTTTTGCTACAGTAAAAAACTCTAACATAAAATCACATCTCAACTCGAATTAAAAACTCGAATCAGCGAACTAAACGGACCCATGTTTGTGACATGCGCAATCTTATCTTTCTCAAACAAATTCACTTAATAATAAAAGTCACTTCTGTTGAACTTATTTACAAAAGTGACATCACTTAAAAACCCATTCTTCTTCTGTACCTAATGGCCAAACGAATCACAATAGCATATGCAAATGATTGGGGTCCCTCCCCCAAATTGAATCCATAACATTTACTTTCATTATCTCTTTTTTTTTTTTTTTCCTTTTTTTCAGTAAAATGATTTTGTATTGAAAACCCATAATCAAACATCATCTTCTACGAACTCAACAAAGAAAAAAGATTCCTTAAGAAAAATGGAAAAAGAGACCAAGGAATGATAGTCGTCATTAACGACGATCATTTTTCTTTAACTCTCTAATTCATTTCAAATGGTTTTTGATTTCCATGGGTTAATGAACACCCAAACTAAATCTTCCATTTATCTGAGTTCATTATGAACTGCAGTCTCTGCGCTTTTCTTTCCTTTTTTTTTTTTTTTTTTTTTTTTTTTTTTTTTTTTTTCTTCTTTGTTTGTTGAACTCTTCAATTTTTGAGTTCTTAATATCGATATAGAAATGCCATAGATGATAGAACTAAAAGCACAGAATTGCAGAGTTTCAACCAAAAATAGATGAAGCAAAAACGGCAGGATCTGTTGTTAACGTCGGTGTTCCTCCTCTACGAGCATTTTTGACAGCAGCGCCAAAGGAGAGAGAAGAAAATGAGTTTTACCCCACAAACGGTTTTGTATCTGAAAAAGAAAATAGGATTTTAAGCGGTGGCACTCCTGTAAATAGTTTCAAAAGAAGTGACTTTTTATTAAGTAGATTTATTTAAGGAAAGAAAGATGACACATGTCAATAAGAATAAACTAGTGTCTAAACAATAATCTGTATTGTATTAGAGTCTGTATTTAGCAACTCTTTTAACTAGAGTAATAGGCCACATTTTGCATTTGCTAAATAGTATTAAGCCCTATTATTTATTAGGGAAAAAAAAAAACCTTGAGAGAGAGAAACAAGCATATACAAGGGAAACTAGCACATTCAATTCGTTTTGGGCCCCGTATTTTTGCGATACGTACAAGAGACGTGTGATATAACACAAATATTCTCATGTGTAACTACAGAATCAACATATATCAGGAAGAAATTAAAAAAAAAAAAAACAAAAAACAAATAAAAAATTGCCTAGGGTTATTTATCCCACGATCACTGGCTAGGCAACTAATGAGATAAATCGCCATATCTTAACACTCCGTGATCAATAACTTAACATTTTCTAGCTCCTACCAAAAAAAAAAAAAAAAAAAAAAAAAAAAAAAAAAAACAAAAAAAAAAAAAAAAAAAAAAAAAAAAAAAAAGCAAGCTACCCTTTCTTAGCATCCAAACAGACACATGGGAGAAAACGATATCTATCTTGCTAGATTGTTGAACCACAATCATAGGTTAAAAAGTGAATAATGAACGATTATATGACCTATCTATACCAAACTCATTCCATTTAACATTTGACTTGTTATAGCAAATTAACGAATGGATCTTAGACGTGGCTGATATAATGCTGTTGAAGGCACTATAATTTTAGACATTTTTGTCTTATAAGAGATGTTTCCAGTTATCACTTTTTCTTGTGCTTCTACAATTACCAACAGGGTTTCTCACCAGCTTGCCTGTCTTGCTTTACTTTTGTCTATGACCAGCTCTGATTTAATGAGCTTCCTGATGGTATTATTTCTCGTTTTGTTTCAGCAGACTTTGCCCTGCTTTCCTCCCAAAAAAAAAAATTCTTCCACAAAGAGGAGAATGAAGCAGGCATAGGTGAATGAGGAGACAGTATATGAATTTTTAAATTTTTATAAAAAAAAAAAAACACTAACAAAAACTTAAATTGTGATTAGAACTTGTAAAACGAACGAGGCCTAAATTATTCTCATTACATGTTCAGTTTCTTTGGTGTGTGTTTGAAAACTATGAAATGGACTTTTCCTCTTTTCCTTTTGCTTCCTTTGTTGGCTTCTAGATAATCTGAAAAACTCACGTCTCATCCATTTGCAATTAGATTGTGCAGATCGTTGTTTTTAATTTGTTAGATTTGTTTCCTAGTCTCTCATAGAATTACACGTGTAACTTTGATTTATTTTTTTGTATAAATGTAATACTTTGATTAGCTATTGTAAGAAAATTAGTTAGTTAGAACAAACTATTTAAGAATAATTTCAGTAGTAATAGAATTCAATACAAAGAATTCATTCTTTGATTCTCAAATTCATCTTCTTTTTGAGTCTTTTTCTCAAACGTTTACACACGTTGTCTCATCCATCTGTCTTACACTCATGTCTCCCATTCAACAACAAAAAATTCCGAGATTCACCATTTTGACAACCCCCCCCCCCCCCCCCCCAAAAAAAAAAAAAAAAAAAAAAAAAAAAAAAAAAAAAAAAAAGAGATTATTAGCTGGTGAGAGTCGGCAACTGCTGTCCAAGATTGCAACCAAAGATGGAAATGGTATGAGAACACGCCTTAAACATAAACCTAATGACATAAGAGAACAAGTTAAAACCCCCATTAGTATAGTTAGTTACCGATCAATGCAAAACTACAGCATAGTAAGAGCCCGTTTGGTTCATAGATTAGAACTATGAGATTAAAATCATTTTCGATTTACGTGTGTTTTTTGTGAGAGAAAATACTATAGCGAACCATGAACCATGATTCGAATCAGAGAACGAATCCTTCGACCAAACAGAGTCTAAGTATTCCATCATATAGGCGTTCACTTCGCTAATTCGAGTTTAGAATTCGAGTTTTTCTACAGTAAAAAACTCTCACAAACAATCACATCTAACTTTTTTGCTACAGTAAAAAACTCACATAAAATCACATCTCAACTCAAATTCTAAACTCAAATCAGCGAGGTGAACGGGGCCATAGATTATATATATATCCATGCATTCTCTCGTTCAAACCTTTTTGTTACAGTATTTTCTCTCACAATTTAAATTTTATGTTCAAATCTATAAACCAAACGAGCTCTACATTCACCTGGGCTTTTCGCCTTTTCCTTTTGATAAACCTTAACTACAATATAAAGAATTAGTAGAAGCCTCATACTTAAGCATCAGTAAATTCCTTAATTCATAAAGATATGCAAAGGCGTGGTAGTGAAACCCACAATCATCAATTAAGAAAATCATAAGTTATTGGGCAAAGAGTGAAATGCCAAAATCATGATTCCACATTATTGGGCAAAGAGTGAAATGCCATTTTTATCTCTCTATTCTTTATCATTCGGAAGAGTTAATGCAAACCCACAATCATCAATTAAGAAAATCACAAGTTATGACCAAACAAAAGGGGGTTAATAGAAAAGGGAAAGCCCCCAGATGTCATAGCTTAATCTGGTCACTAGCAGTATGTAAGGAACCTGGTAAATCACAGCCAAACTACACAAACACGCACACACACACACAAATGCACAACGAATTGAAAGGAATCAGGGAAGCTTTTATTGAATCAACTAGCAACAAGGTTTACACTAGACAACTGAAAATAATATAAACCCGGAGATTTCGAGTACTAAAGAACTCACAGCCACCGTCGGTGGAGAAACCAGAGAAAACCAGTAAATTCTTGTCTAACCCTCTCCCCTAAGCTTTCGTTCCCTACATACCCTGATTCCCACTTATTTTAGCCACATCACCCTTCTAGCCACTTTCCAAAATTACTCCTTGGCCCCGAACTCTTCCTTTCTTGCCACCCTTACCCCTTCTAGTATAAACGTTCCTAAGTAAGGGTATGACACAATACAACCAAAGAAATTTCATTAACCGCCTCTTCGCATCTTCCACCACCTAAAGAAAGACACACACAAAGGACACACACACATTGTTAGGAACCACATACTAAGAGTATGACACAGTACAACCAAAGAAATTTCATTAACCGCCTCTTCGCATCTCCTACCGCCTAAACACACACAGACAGAGGACACACACACACACTAATGACTTGGGAATTTGTTTGGGTAGGAATTAGTATAAATAAAGGGTTTAGTAGCTCACTAGGGTAGGCTTTGATTTTGAGAGTTGTCGGAGACTGAGATTAGAGAGAGCTGGTGGTCTGTCGAATACCATCAAAGTTACGAGTTCTCCGGAGTCCTCAAATACTCCAGCCTATCCTAAGCTTTCTTTACGTTTTTCTTAATTTGGTTGTAAAATTCTATGAGCTAGTGTTGGTGATGATCAATAAAATTACTCTGATTGCCTTCTATTATTGTTCTTTTGTGTGAATATTAAGCTATGAGAGTCAGGTTCCTAACAATTTGGTATTAGAGCAATCGATTCTCGGGAAAAAACTGTGGATAAAAAATATTACAAAAAAAACAGGTGAGAAGAGTCTGGAATCGTGGGGTTTCGAGAACCAGAGCCGCCGACCATCGACCGTACGAACTGCGCCGGCGAGCGGCGACAAAGGGAAGACGGCCATATCTGAAATCGCGCAAGATTGACGAATATTGGAGCCATTTGTTGCGATATGGTGCTGAGACGTTCAGATCTGAGAAGAACGACGACCCTTGGCTGATGCGAACTGGCCTGCAAATCCAACACCGACGAACGACGCCAGAGATGCAACTTGAGATGAGCGATTCACGCCACGTGGGACACAGGTGGAGATGCGAACTGTTTGGAGCGATTTTTCGTGACCCGGAGCTAGATCAACTAGATCTGAAGTGAATGGCAGCAAATTCACGACGGGATCGAGCATAGATGGGGCTGGGTTGCGTGATCATGGTGCGTTCGAAGGTGATTCCGGCAAGATTTGGACAGGGTGTCGCCATTCCGGTGCGTCTGAGGCTAATTCCGGCTGAATTCGGACTGGGTCAAGTGAGTTCGGGCCGATTTGGGCGGATTCTGACGAAATTAGGGTTGGGTCCTGAAATTCCGGCGGCCCTAGGTCTGGATTTTGCAATTTTGATGTGATTGAGACTGATTCCGGTGATGTTTGGGTTGGGCCTCGAACTTACAGCAAGATTAGAGCCAAATATGGACTAGATTTTCAAGTTTTGGCATGACCGGGGCTGGGTCTGGGCGATTTGGAGTTGGGTGAGGGAGATTGGGTTTTACAATCTGATTTGAGAAAGCGAGTTGGGCCTTCTCGATTTGGAGTCCGAATCAATCCAAGGGTTTCGAGTCAATTCATGTTGTTAAAATGGCTATGAAAGGTGATGCTTTGGCTTGATATCAATGGTAGGATGCTCGTTGCCCGTTCTACAGTTGGAATGAATTAAAGACTCATCTACTTAAGCCTTTTAGATTGTCATCCGATGAGGCCTTACATAAGAGTTTCTCCGTGAAATGTCAAAAGGATATTATGACTGACTATAGACGACAATTCAAGGTACTTGCCAAACCTGGGAAAGAGATTTCAAGTTCGGTTTTAGAGAGAGTTGTCATTACAAAATTGGAAGTCGATAAAGAGCAAGTGATAGGCAGTTCAAGCAAGTTGCTTCCAGCTCAAACAACATATGTTTCAAATCAAATGGATGTTCAACAAGACTTGACTATGAATAATTTTGATGGCAAGGTGGACCAAGGCATTGAAAATTAAGTTGGTTTTCAATCTGTTGCTAGTAATGAGGGGCATCAAGATATGGGAAACAAGATGTCAATGATATCAAAATTTTCCAAGGATGTTACTATAGAGTCGGATTTTGTTGCACCAGTGAAAGAAGTTAACAGTTGAGTTCATTCTTGTATTTTAAAAGATGAATTTGATTCTGTTTGCAGCAATTCTAGGGATGTTGACAAAGGAATGAAGAGTGTACACTTGCAGCTGCCCTCCATTGTTGATGTTCTAACAAACAAGGCAGCTTTATCTGGCATGGTGGAACATGCACTGTAGCAAGATAACGCTTGTGGGAGGAAGGTTTTTGTTATAAATGAATTGTTTGAGCTGACCAACAAGGTCTTCCATTACTACAAGGATGATTTTGAGGCTGAGCTTCATGGTTTCACTGCCTTTAAAGTGGTTCAAAATTTCAACTCCAAACAGAAGTGTGAAGTTGAAAAAATAAAGTTAACAAGAACATTTGAAACAAGTTCTATACGAATCATTCCATTCAACATTCCAAGATCCAAGCTCATCAAGATTGGAAGTGGAGTCACACAGCTGCGATTACTTAACACCTTGAGGACAAGGTGTTTCTTTGGGGCGGGGCTACTGTTAGGATTCGTTAATGACTTGGGAACTTGTTTGGTTAGTGGGCTGATAGAGTTAGTTGGAATTAGTATAAATAAAGGGCTTAGTAGCTCACTAGGGTAGACTTGGATTTTGAAAGTTTTGGGAGATTGAAATTAGGGAGAGCTGGTAGTCTCTCGAATACCATCAAAGTTAGGAGTTCTCCGAAGTCCTCGAATACTCCAGTCTATCCTAAACTTTCTTTACGTTTTTCTTAGTTGGTTGTAAAATTCTATGAGCTAGTGTTAGTAATGATCAATAAAACTACTCAGATTACCTTCTATTCTTGTTCTTCTGTGTGAATATTGAGCTGTGAGAATCAGGTTCCTAACACACACACACAAAGAGTGAGAGTGAGGAGGATGACGACGATGATGGAACAAAAAATGTAAAGCATGGCACATTACGAATAACAGTGGTACCTGCTTCCAACAAAGTATACCTTTCTTTTTTTCTAAAAGGAACAAAGTATATCTTTCCATCACATGGCAAAAGCAACAAACCATACACGTCAAATAAAACGGGAATGCAAGTTCAAATCGAAGTGGGTGCAGCTAAATCAAATGAAACAAATTATAATCAGCTTGCCACTCGGTGAATTTTTTCATTACTCTTGTCACTTGTCATGTACCCTCATCAATAAGATATGGTTTACAAATAATTCATACGACCAAATTTAATACTAAAGCAACACATTTAAAAGTAAACAAAAAATTTGACAAATGAAAGTCATTTAAAATGCCCTCAGATCTCATAGCTAAATCTGGTCACTAGCAGTACAACCACAGAATTTTCATTAAGATCTTCACATCTTCTACCATATGGATATATATATATATATATATATATGGAGAGAGAGAGATGATGATGATGATGATGAAGATGACGGAGGAGTAAAAAATGTAAAGCACGGCTCATTATGAAAATCCATGGTAACTGCTTCCAACAAAGTATTTGTTCCATCACAGGGCAAAAGCAACAAAATATAAATAATATATTTAAAGCAAAGATTCAAAATATAATTGAAAAAGCTCCAGAAAAATTAAATGAAATACACCATTTCACGCCTTCAACGCTCAAAGGGTTTCTACAAGCCTTCCATGGATTAAACACTCAAAAACCTCCTCCATAAAATTTAATAACAATAATAAAATCATTCTCCTTCTATCCAATTTTCTGTATGAAATTACTTAAATAATCTTATTTATAATATATAAAGACCGAAAAGCGATGAAAATCCACTGAAACTGATACCATATACAAATCAAAGAATAAACATACAACAAAGCACTTAC